CTCCATTTTGGTGGTGCACTGTTTGGCTTTTTTTCTTATTTGTTGATTTTGCATCCAAGGTACTCAGTTATAACTACAGCCGTGCTGTACATTACTTGGTTTGTTTCTTGCAGTGAACTGGTATTTATATATTTGATATTATAGTACTGGCATCTTTTAATACTTGTGCTAGCTGTTTCTTTGTAACAAGCTTCAATGCAGGCAACCTTATTCTGTTCTTTTCATGCTGTTCTAGATGCTCAATTATTCTTTGTTTCAATTCCTCTTGTTTTTTAGTTAAAGGGCTTCATTCTTTCTGAGGAGAAGGCAGACGAGAGGATGCCTGGTTTGGGAATGAAAATGATTCAATGGCTATGCTGACTTCCTCTACTCCCAACTCCCCCTGGTTTGCCTCTACAGTTTGAGATTCTTCTGGAAAGGCTTCAGTTTCTTTGCCCTGGGTAGACTTTTGTAGTTCTTCCAATTCTACTTCTGTGAATACTTTACTTTGTATTATAAATTGACATTGATCTGCTAGCCTCTGCCCTGTTATTTCTGATTCTGGATGTTTTTCTTTCCAGAACTGGTGCATTCTTTTCAAATATCCTCTTCTCATTGGACTTGATTTATAATAGCAAATCATTATTTCTTTGTTTTCAGTCTTTGTATATTTGCAACAGGTAAACAAGCTTTCTTCCATGTGCTCCTGCACCTGCTGGCCCTGGTTGCTCAGCCAACAGTCCTGAGTCCTGTAACCCATTTGTCACCAGATGTCTAGGAACTAGAACACCTAGCACAGTTCTTGTTGACCCAGGATATGTCCGATCTGGTATAGGTTTCTGTAAATTACGTTTCATCATATTGCTTATGAGAGAGGCACTCTTCGTCTAGCTCCTCTGATGAGACTTGTCCAGTATGGTTGAACCTCTGGCCTAGCTCTCATCCTTCTTGGAGCACGCAAGCTCCACAACCACAACCACGTCAAAGTAGTGCCTCACTGGGGGGGGGGGTATTATTATTGTTGTTGTTGTTGTTGTTGGTTGCACAGTCAACCAGATGTTTAGACTGGGTTTGGCATTTTTGTCCACCTACCAAGTCCTTCCCAAGGACCTGAGATAGGCAGATGCTGTGGTTTGGTGGTTTGATGGTGTTAAAGGTATTGTCGCAGGATATAAGCTGTTCCAAGTAAAGCTGCCTTTT